GTGTTTTGACTTTCCTTCCCACAAAGACCCAAATGTTGATTTTTCCAAATTATCCCCCCCCCACCCTCATCCTACCTTCCCCCTCCGTCAGCTATGAATGAATGGCTGGTGGTCATGTGATTCTATCACCATGGAGACACATGGCAGCTGTAAGATGTAAGAATCAGGATCATGGGAGGGCGGCTGCATAACCAGCAAGTTATTTATAGGTTGCTGTTTGTGAATTTATGGAATCACATCTGTCTTTGAGCATCATGTTTCATATTCACGCTGATTCCGGTGGGGCAGGGCATTATTCTTTACAAGCGTGCATTATACAAATCCCCCAAGTCTATGAATTAATGCAGAGAAGGAAGGGTTCTCGGTAGCTTATACAATCTCTGAGCAAGCTTAGATCAGGCTGGTTTAAAATTCACATTAATTTTTTCATCATGAGATCCTCTCACAAACCTACTCAGACTTCTCAATACACAGGCCAAACCACATCTTTGAACATAAGCTGCTGGTGGCTGCTCCATGAACACATGAAGGAAAAGCCATACTGCAACCTGTGATCATTTCTTAAGCAAAGGGGTTTCTTTTTGTTTTTTCCATGCAAATAGGAAGCAGGAGGCAGCGCCTGTTGGCAGCACAAGGCGAGATGTGGGATCACACATTACAGGGTTGAATCTGAAAATTTTTGGTTGCTTGGTTTCTCATTTCTCCAATCTTAAATTCAGTTCACCACATTTCTGCAGCAATCTTTGGGGGGGGGGAATCATCATGAAAATTATTCAGTATTTTAATGCAAATTTATCCTAATAAACACATTTTTGAATGCAATTTTAGCTGATGTACACATTTTTGCAAACATTCTTTCTGAATATGATGCATATTTGTTTGATATTTTCACCAATATATTCTTTTTATGCACACTTTAACCTCATATTTGATTTTTTGCAAACACTGGTTGGTTGGTAATTGCATCACAAAATTTGGATGAGCGCAAATTTCAAAGTTTAGTTCTGTTTTGTTTCTTGCCTTGTTTTGGAAAGTGAGAATCTGATGGATTCACCTCTAAATGTGAACTGAATCAATATTCTCCCCCATCCCTAACTATAGGTACCCATTTTGCCCCCTTTCTTAGAAGGTGAACATAATCTATTCAGCCCAACCTTAAACATTTTGTTATCCCCTAGGTAAAATATGAAAAATGTGATCCAGCAGGCAGAAAGTTGTATCTGGATCTGGAGGACTTAGAAGTATCCATAAGCTTTCTTTGGCAGAGCAAATAACAGTTTGAGGTGGGGACTGCTTATAGCAGAAAAATGATGGGAGAGGGTGAGGGGGAAAGAGTTAACCCATTGCTGGTTATTGCTGCTTTAACTTACCACCCACGGGGAAAGATGAGTGGAGGTGTCCGGATATTATTTTCTTAATTTTTGCTTTGCCAGTTCCATGCTTGCACAGCAGAGAGATGCAGACTGAACTCTTCTCTGGAGGCTGGACCAGCTTAGGATCCAGTGGATCCTTGCCAGCCCTGTCCTGCCCCCATTCTACCCTATTCAGAGTTTAGGTCATCAGTAGCTTGTGCCATCAGTGGGCACAGTAGCAGCTTTTGTGGAAGCAGATCCTCACCACCACCAGCAGCAGTGCCACAGCCGAGAGTAACACCTGGCTCCCTCCTAGAGTGCATACCTAGGACTAGGATTGCTCTGCTCAGTAGGACATGAGAAACAATAGGAAAGATGGCTTCTCTTTTTCATGCTGTGGTAGCCTTTCTTCATTAAATTGCCAGTGCAGAATCACAAATTTGTTAAACATCTAAATGAGCTAGGTTCTGCACAATGGATAAATAAGGTGATAGGCCTGCTGGAACGTATTTTAGTGGGGTCCTTTTTCTTACTTATAAAATGATCCCGTTTCCACCAAAATGTTCCCTTCCACTTACAGGAAGGGAACCTCTTGTCACACCTAAGGCTGTCCAGCTCTTGAGGAGTTTCTTTGCCCTAACTCAGACTCCTGCCTTCCACACTGCTTTAGAAAAAATATAAACAAGAAGAGAACATTTGATTTATGTCTCCAAAGACACAGAACTTGACAGTATTTTGTGAGATGTCTCAAGGGACATAACCCACTGTCTTAAGCACACAGGGAAAATTCTGATAAATTGCCATTTAAAAAACCAAGGAAGCCAAATGTCAAAATATAAATAACTTTATTGCACAGGCAGGGTGGAGGTAAAAGAAGGGAAAAGGAAAGATAACAACCATCTATAGATACCCAGGCCAGCAGATAAAATGGATAAAGAAAATCTAACTGAGTCACTAATGTGCTATGTGCTTGGGTGAAGTCTTTACCCACAGGCAGTTTTTCTTTTTAAATACCTGCACCATCAAGAAAGACACCCATATTGAGGTTATTGCAATATGGGTGCAAATGCATTTATATTTAATATTTATTTGTTTATTAAACTTATATCCTGCCCTTCCACCCAAAGGAAGGAGCCCAGGGCAGCAACCAACAACTGATATAACAATAAAAACGTCCTTACATTATTCCAGTAGAGATGTAGACTGGGAAAGATCTTGACTTAAAGGCTTGTTGGAAGTAGGTGCTGAAAAGACAACAGAGATGGCACCTGTCTAATACTTACAGGAAGGAAATTCTAAAGGATAGCACTAAGACGCAATTGTGAGAAGCAGACCCTCCTGATAATGTGGCATCTGCAGGAGGACTTCAGCTGCACAGCAGTGATTGGCTGGGTATATAAGGGGTGAGGTGATATTTCACATATCCTGGTCCCAAGCTGCAAAGGCTTTATACACCAAAACCAGCAGCTGGAACTTGGCCCAGTAGCTTCACATGTTGGCAATATCCTGCCCCAGTGAGCAGTTGAGCTGAGCTTTTATGCTCCTTGACCAGCCAGGAGCTCGTGCAGGAGGTTGCAAGATTGAATGCACCCTCTCTCCAAGCTCTGCATCAGGCAGGGAGGGGGCACTTGCCCCAGCCCTTGCAGCGCTTACCAACTGCCTCATCAAAAGACAGCAACCCAGGGGAGCAAGCAAAGTGCTCAGGAACTCGCTTCCTTCTCCAGGCTCCTGGTGCTGCAGTTTTTAATAGATTACAAAACAGATGAAATAAAGTTATTTCATTGACGGCCCTCTTATTGTTATGTACAGAACAACACTGAGGGTGTTTAAATTATAATAACAACAGCAACTTCGTACATTAGTGAAGTTGGCGTGTTATTAGATTCACAAAAATGGCACCTATGCAGCAGAATCATCTGCCATGGCTGGCCTTGGGCTAATCACTTGTCTCTTAGCTTCAGTGTTCCTTGACTGAAAAAATAGGGTGTTCTTTGTTTACCATTGACCCGTTTTAGGGGTTGGTGTTAGAATTCCTGATCAGTAGTAGATTTGTACTTATACATGCAGGCTATCTCATAGCTCAGAAAGGGACGCGGGTGGCGCTGTGGGTTAAACCACAGAGCCTAGGACTTGCTGATCAGAAGGTTGGCAGTTCGAATCCCCGCAACGGGGTGAGCTCCCATTGCTCGGTCCCTGCTTCTGCCAACCTAGCTGTTCGAAAGCACGTCAAAGTGCAAGTAGATAAATAGGTACCACTCCGACGGGAAGGTAAACAGTATTTCCGTGCGCTGCTCTGGTTCACCAGAAGTGGCTTAGTCATGCTGGCCACATGACCCGGAAGCTGTACGCCAGCTCCCTCAGCAATAAAGCGAGATGAGCGCCGCACACCCAGAGTCAGGGGTCCCTTTACCTTATCTCGTAGCTCATGGGGCTCAGCAGGCAGTTGACTCCACTCTCCATGTGCACTATTACTTTGCATCTGGCTGAAGTTAAGTGGACCTTAGGGTTTTAGTGAACAAGGAAGTTGAACCCACAAGCTTGTAGTCTGCCTTTGTTGATTGGTGCATGAAACTGGCAGCACATTAGCAGAATATTTGCCTTATGAACAAGCTCTGCTGTCATTTGCAGAGCAGTTTGGAATCAGAGCTGCCACCTTTTTATGTCAAAAGTGCCATTCCCCTGGAACCTGGGGATGGTGGCGGATCAGATAGAACCAATACAGAATCTGGCAGACTGGGGGGTGATGCCAGAATGACACTTGGTGTTTTATGGCTGGGTGGGTCATGGTAGAATTTGGTCAACCATGAGTGGTTAATTACATCGATTGCTGCCAAACTTGGCCTCTCCCTCTCTGCCCTTTGGCAGTGAGCAGACCTCCATTCTGAGGGGTGGGGGAGTAAGGATTGCACCACCATGCAGCAGAACCAATTGCCACAGCTGGATCTCCCTCCCTGCTCTTGGTCACTGAAGGCTCCAGTCCTGGGGGGAAATGATTAAGAAGCTCACAGCTGGACAACAGACCATCAGTTGCCAGTAATGGAGGGGGGAGTGAGATGGGATGGAGGTCAATGGGTGGGGACACTCATGACCAGATGAAAATAGACTTTGAGTGGAGGATATGCCACCTGAGCAGTGGAATGTGTAGGAGTGGCTAGGAACGTGATTTACATTGCATCGTTTTATACAATGTGCTTAGTGGATCCTTCAGAATAATACTGCCATTCTGCCAAAGGGGCTTTACCATTTAAAACACCAAAACAAGGACAAGCGGCCTCAGGGCATCGGTGCCACTTCAGGAGCTGATGATGGCACGAGTTCCTTGGTTTGGGCTTCTTCCTTTCTGCTTTCCTCTCGGAGCACATAACCTTTTTGACAGATCCCTGTCTGTGTGGTGAGGATGCCCTGGCTGGATCTTTTCAAGTGTGTGGCCTTTAGACTGCTCCAGAGCTTGAGCTCTCTGAGCTGGGAAGTTCCTGATTCTTCAGACCCAGACTCTGGGCCCTTGATAATGCTGCCTTGCCTATATGCGGTGGAACTCTTCTGATCTTCCAGGTGGCAGCACGTCCATCCACACCACAGGCTGCTCGCGATTGCGGACACTTCCCCGCAGTGCCCAAGCGGCTCGCCCGAGGCATGCCGGGAAAAGCGCGCCTTTCACCGAAGCATCAGGTGTTGGTTGGCCCTGCCGGGGAGGGTCCGCGGAGCAGCAGCAGCGTCTAACCCCGCTCGGGCCCCCATGCCACCGCTCTGGGGCGCCGGGTGTGTGTGTGGGAGAGGCGGCTGGCTGCTCCCCCGCGACCCCCTCCCGCCGCCGGATCCCCGAAGGGCGGCGAGCCCAGCCCGTTGCCAGCCGAAGCCCCGCGCTTTCCCACTGACGCGCGTCGGCGAGTGACTCAAGCCTACGTCACGCGCGCCCGGCCAAAAGACGCTCTCCTTGCCTGGGGAAAGGTGCTCTCGCGGCGGCGGCGGCGGCGACGCAGCCTGCTCCGTGGGCTCTCGACGGCGACGAGCCGACGGACCTGAGAGAGCCGCAGGAAGAGCGAGCCTTCGGGGAGGAGGAGGAGAAGCGGCAGCAGCAGCAGCAGAGCAACTGGGCGAAGAGCGGCCCGAGCGCAGCGCGGCCACCTGGGGAAGCCGAGGCGCGCGTCAGGTCAGGGCGCGCGGCTTTGCCTTCTTCCCATTGCCCAGCCGCCAGAGCACTTTCCCCGGCGAGTTGTCAGAGGTCCGCCCGGCCCAGCGCAGCTGCCTTCCGTCCTGCGTCCCGCAGGAGTTCCTCGACGGCGCGCCGACGGGGCGGGCAGCCCGCTGGTAAGGAAGGTAAGGAAGAGTGAGCCCTTTGGGGGCAGGTGCGGCGCCTCCTCGCGCCTTCTCCTTCGTCTTCCCTCTGTTTCTTCCCGGCACGCAGGTAGGATCTGCTTGTTTCCATTGCTTTACCAAAAGGACACGGGGGGGGGGGGGAGAGGAAACTCTCGGTTGCTAGGCGAGGATGGAAAAAGGATCTCGCCTAGCAACTGGGGAGGAGGAAGGCAGGTGGACCAAGGGTGGAGAAAAGGGAAAAGGGAGCAAGGCGAGGAGGCGCGTCACCTGAAGCCTAAAAATAGCCAGCGATGCGGAACGGAAGGAGGCACGTTTGGGCGAGATAGATGGGGGGGGGGGGGAGAGACGAGCAAATCGCCCTTTGCTGAAGCCCGGAGGGATTGCTACGATCCCTTCCGAAGAGATGCTTGGGGAGCTGACATTTTAAGTAAGTATGGGGTGGGGAGCGGGGTTTATAGATCGTCAGTGGCCATCCTGAAATCCACGCAGCCTGAAGTGTGACCTTGATTGTAACATTGGGAAAGGAAGCAGAAACCACTCCGTCCTCATGAATAATGAAACGCCGGCGCTTGAATCCTGGCTCACTTGGCCCCACCTCTCTCTGGGGTAATTCATCACAGAAGTTAGGGGTATAGAAGACGGGCCACAAGAAGCTGCATTCATTTGACTCCTAAGCTGTGGTTTAGGGTGGGGGAGAGGATGCTAGAGGTTTGCCTTGTTTCGTTTTTTAAAAAAACCCTGGGCATTTGTGAAAATGTTGGCTGCATTGGGAAGCCAGTTCTGCTTTTAGCCCTGGTGGAAAAAAAGATGCCATTGTATTTGATATAAATCCTATGCATTGAATCTTCCTTTTTTAATATGCTCTTTTTGAAATGATCAATAAACCCTTTTAAAATACAATCCAAGTCATCAGCTATTGACGTACGTACTTGAATGGGGTTTGGAAGTGGAAAGTGATAGATCCAAATAGCCTTCCTATTAAGAAGCAGCTCTAACTGTAACATAACTGCCTAAAAAAATAGATTGTGTTTATGGTGTTTGCTTCTGATTTGCATTTGCAATTGGAAACATGTGTGCAAAGCTCCATTAACACTTTTGCTTAAACCAGAGTGAATCTGGAATCAAATTCTTATCTCAGGAGCTATGTGCAACCTATGTGGGAATTTTAGTGCCCCAGAAGAAATGTTTAAATAGTGCCTACTGCACCATTTAATGGCACCATCCTCAGGCTGCTGGAGGATCATCCCCTATCCCACCTCACCTGGTCCTTTTGCTTGTCAATCTCTGATAAGGCCTCCTTCACTACCATTCCAGGTCCTGCAACTAGATGAACTGACCTCTTATTGTACTATCTAGTTTCCATTTCCTCCAATATGCCCTGCACTCCATGCCTTGATGTGCCATGACTTCTTAACCATTTATGCTTCATATCCAGCCTCAGCCCACTTTCCCACATCTTCCGTCTGCTCATTGCATCAGGTCCTCCAACCTCTGTTCATTCCTTGTTGTGCAGAAGCAGCAGAAGCACATGTGCCAAGAATTCAGGATGTACCTTTCCTCTTATGCTACAGCAACAAAAGTGCTGTTCCATATGTTCCTAGATATCCACCACGACCACCTAATTGTAAGGCCAGCGTGGCATGGTGACTCTCTCTACAAATGACATTGAATTACTATGCAGCATGCCGCTATAGCTTAATAATGAACTTAGAAAGCTGACTTATATATCAAGCTTGATATTGTCCACACTAACTAATAGCGGCTCTCATGGGCTTCATACAAGAGTCTTTCCTAGGCCTATCTGGAGATGCAAGGGATTGGACCTGAGACTTTCTGTATGCAAAGAAGATGCTCCGCCACTGAGCTATGGCCCTTCCCCTGGTTTTGGCCCTTCCTTTTTGTGGACATATGTTTCACAGATCCTAAGGTTAGATAAAACTGTCGGATAATCCAGCAGGGTCTCTTCTCTTGCACAGCCCATATGGATCTTCCCAGACTGTGACTTATTTTTAGCTGCAGAGAAGCATCCTTTTAGAAGGGCATCTCTATCCATCTTGATGTTCTCAAGGGAATAATAAAGTTTCCATTTGCTTGCCTGTCTTCCAGAAAGCGCCTTCTCTGATGCTGAGAGTCAATAGGGACTCTCAGACAGACTGTTGGGTCTAGGAGTTCAGGGTTCCATTCCTAGCTTAGTCTCTGTGTGGCCCTGGGTCTGCTCCCTATTTCTAATGCGACGAGAATAATAGTATCATAGAATTGTAGAGTTGGGACGGACCACAAGGGTGCAAGAATATTTTTGCCCAGCATGGGGCTCAAACCCACATGAGATTAAGAGTCATGCTCTACTGACTAAACTACCCCAGCAGTGATGGAACTCGCAAGGTTATGTGTGTATGTGTGTGCATGCGCAGAAGGAGGATGAGAGATTTAAAATGAGTTTTAAAATGGCAAGGCACTTGGCGCAGCTAGAAGTGCCACATCCATTATTAATCATGGAGAATGCATTGCTGGTGGCCTCTGGGGGGGGGGTCCTCCTGACATCATTCAGCAGTGCCATCTCTCCATCTGTCCCTCTCCTCTTGCCCTTCCTCAAGGGTGACCTTTTCTCTTTCAGCAGCTTTGGGCCTCACACCTGCATCGCTCTGCTCCTCCTCTGTCTTCATGTCTCCCAGGGGAGTTAGCGAAGCCATTTTTTTTTTTTTTGCCTCCTTTCTTTGTTATCACTACAGCAACCCTCCAAGATCAGAGACAGAGGGGAGGGGAATGTATATCAGATCAAGGGGAGAAAGCGGGTATGTATTGGAAGTGAGCCGTATTCCTGCGGGTACATATTGGAAGTGAACCATAGTCCACGAAAGCTTGTGCCATTGTAAGTTTTGTTGACCTAATTTAAGGTGCCACAAGACTCTGTTGCTTTTGCTGCAAGACAGTAAGATGGTGAATATAGTTTATGTTAGCAATGCTGTCTTTCATGAAGGTGCAGCCCCCAGTTTTAATCCTGAGTCCCCTGCTACTGATTTCCATGGGAAGATTAGCCTTCTGTTTTTGTAGTAAAGAACCAATTTGTCCTCAGGCTCTAAATAGAAAAACTCCACCTTGTGAATGCATTCACATCATTAAGGGAGTCATATGATTACTGGCTTTCACTGCTTTCAAATACAGGGTCATATTGTTATAACTTATATATGCTGCTATGATACCAAACAAGAAATGAACATGGCCTGTATTGGATGAATAGCCCCTTTTTACTCATTTTCTGGCCAATGATGGTGCAAAGTCTCTCTCTCTCTCTCTCTCTCTCCTTTGAGATATGAAAACAAATGGAGACATCTATGAAAGTATTGATGTGGAGACACGAAGAGTTGAGATGTGTTTTGTAATTAACTCCCTAGCTCTCCCTGATGCATCCCAAATGCAATGCTGTTAAATAGGTCTTGCCTTGAGCCCCCCATAAGAGTGCTGTTGAGTAAGCTGTGACGTCTTTTATTACTAGTATTCGCTGCGAGATCACATTCTCCCGGTGCTATACCAGCTGCACTGGCTCCCGGTGGAGTACAGGATCAGGTTTAAGGTGCTGGTTTTAACCTTTAAAGCCCTATACGGCCTAGGACCCTCGTACCTACGGGACCGCCTCTCCTGGTATGCCCCACAGAGAAACTTACAGTCCTCAAATAAAAACATCTTGAAGGTCCCAGGCCACAGAGAAGTTAGGCTGGCCTCAACTAGAGCCAGGGCTTTTTCGGCTGTGGCTCCGATCTGGTGGAACACTCTGTCACAAGAGACTAGGGCCCTGCGGGACTTGACATCTTTCCGCAGGGCCTGCAAGACAGAGCTGTTCCACCAGGCCTTTGGCCAGGGCACAGCCTGACTCCCTCCCTCGGCAATCTTCGCGGAGCTCTGGCCCAATGGTTGCCAGTGGCTTGAATTAATTTTATAATGAATGATTTTAGAGTGTTGTTTGTGCTGTACTTTTGTACTGTTTTATTGTTGTTAGCCGCCCTGAGCCCGGCTTCGGCTGGGGAGGGCGGGATATAAATAAAAATTATTATTATTATTATTATTATTATTATTATTATTATTATTATTATTATTATTAAAGGCCTACAAGTGGAATTCAACATGACATTAATTGGGGTATCTGTGAGTGGGACGAGGTCTGCCTGGCAAGGGAACTCCCACACGCTCCTGTTTTGGGTACCCCCCCCCCATCCTCCAGAGCAAAGGGGAGGAGAGGCAGCTTAATTCTTGTTCAGTGAGTGGACTTCATTCTGCTTGTGCAGCAACACAGCTGAATCCTACCCGATAGCACTTTTAGGATTCTAAAGGTGACCACAGACCAGCCGAGCAGCTCTTAGATGCAGCATAAGTGCTTCTCTGCTGCCAAGTGGAAAGAGGCTTGCTGTTGGGATGTCCCACACAGTGGGGGGGGGCAGGGGGGAGGATACTTGTGTGTCTCTGTGTTGAGGATGCACAGAATCCTAAGCACCCTCATTCACGTAACATGGAGCCCTTTGCCAGCCTGTACACTGCCATGGTTAATTTCCTCCCACTGACGGCAATGAGAAGGGTGGTGGAAATTGGCAAAGAAAAGGGTAAGAAAAAGCAGTCTCCTGACCTCCACAGCTGTCAGGGTTTAAGAAGTGTTTTAGCTCCACCACAGAATCCTTCCCCCTCCCCAATAAGATTGTTCTGCCACCATGCAAAAACACTATTTCCCCACCCCCACCCCTGTATTCTAGCTCACAACAAACCTGTGCCATATGTTGTTATTATCCATGTTTTGCAGAGGAATAATTGGGTGTGCCCAATACCCAGTGAATTCATGGCTCGGCAGGGATTTGAGCTCAAGTCTCTAAGGTCCAAGATTCTGGGCATTGGCCCATTTTTAGCATCCGATAGCAAGTCTTTGGAAAGAAGATCCATTATATTGTTAACAATGTTTAGGGCAGTATAACCAACAGCAGCAACAAAATTCTCTGCCAATTTTGCTCAAATTCTTA